TCATAGCAGACCGGCGACTCTCCTCATTCTGGACATAGACAAATGCCTCCTGAAGTGAAGGAAGAGTATCCATACTCAGAACCCGATTCCGAACCGGATCATACTCACATTGAGACCGGCCAGAAACTTGAAGACCCTCTCCTGTGCAATGAACTTCCTGTACCTAACAGAATCAACAGTGCAAACAGGCTTATAGTCCTGCAGGTGATCAAGGCGTTTCCAGCCGTTGGTGAGGATGGTGAAGTACTGAAGAACCATCTGCTCCCCCTAAATAGAGCTCTCAATAGAGCGGCGTAACTCAAATGCCTGGGAGAAATTCAATTTGCAGGAATCGATGGTAGCCATAGCATCCCAAACATCTTGGGCAGTCTCCATAGACAAGTAGCCCTCGCCAATGTCTGGTACCATCGAATGAATAAGCCAATCCATAATCAAAGAGTTGGTAATCTCCCATTGGTCATAACCCGGGTCAGTTGCGCTGGGTGCCTGCATCCTGCCATCCACATACCCTATCTTCCCTCTGCTCTTCAAAAACATAGTCAAACTCTGCGACCACGCGAGATAGTTCTGACCATTAAATAGAGAGGTGATAATTTTAAGACTCGGGTTAGGGTTATCAGTCATAGTAGTAAGTATAGGGAAACTTTCACTCCTAGGTGTGTGAGAAGTAGTGGACACATTGGTAGAATCTGCCATAGATACTGTACTACCGAACCCGCAACAAAACTAGTGTCAATCACAAACCTGGAAGGTGGTGGTAGTGGAAGGAAAAACAAGCAACCACTATGATAGTAAAGAATTAACAACTCATGCTCTTTTTTTTCTTTTTCTTTTTTTAGAAAAATAAAACAAACAGTGCTGGGTTATATAAACAGACCTAGGTTATATAAACAAACAAACAACTCAAGGGTGAGAGACAGAAAAACGAGATAGACGGAGAGAGGAAGACGACAAGAGAAGCGAAGCAGAGGGAGAGTCGAGCAGTCGAGAGAAGTGAGGTAGGATGGCGGAAAGGGCAAGGTAGTCGGCTGAGTCATCCAGTGGTCGACGAAGCTAGCACAGACGACGATGATGATGAGCCGACGGTGATTCAGTGGTCCACGTTCATCACACCAGGTGAGTTCCGAACCCTAGGAGAGCCGAAACCCCTCAGGCTTGACACCAACGAAGCCAACAATGACGACGATCCGAATGTTATTCGGCTAGGTTGGCTCCGGCAGTGGGTTGGTGGCTCTGGTGGGTACTGTATGCTTGAGGAAATTAGGTTTTAGGGTTAGCTCTGATACCATGTAAATTTTAGAGAATATCAGATCGCTATTTATATTAATGAAAATTAATAATTACAAGGAAGCCCTAAGACATAAAATAATTACAAAATAATAACCCAAATAATCATATATTATTCTAACAAATAGCTCTGCAAGATCCTTAAACATTTGAAAGGATACTACAATATTTGGGCATAAAACACAGAGACTGTTGATCCATTCAACATAAGTGCGTTGGCATTTACCTATATGGTTGTTCCTTCCTATATAATTTCATACTTCAGAAACTCCCATTAATGACAAATTACTACATTTTCATGGTGGTACAGTTTAACCTTGATTCAATATTTAAGCTCTCGTACAAGTTAAATTAATATTGAGGTGTTAAATGTCTCGGTATTTGATCCAGATACACAAAGCTCATGCTTACAGTAGAGTTTGGAAGAGGAGGTAGGTAGGCAGCTTAACCCCACTTTTTTTGTGGGGAGACTGATTCTCATGACTCGAACCCATGCCTCAGGAATCGAAGCTTAGCTTAAAACTAAAGGTTACAGCCTAGTCATAATTTAAGGATCAAAAGATTTATTATTCATTTATCTTGGCAAATTCAAAGAACCATTTATCTATTATTCTATTGCTTTGAAAATACTAAACATCAAACTTACTGTGACACCCCAAAGAACGCCACACACTATGAGTATATGATCACCTACCCTTGAATATTCTAAGTCAAATTAACTATCTTATTATACAAAGTACTTAACGTAAAGCTTAGAAATGGGTAGTTAGGGAACTTTGAACATGAGAATTCTACCATCAACTGTAAAGACTTAAGAACTAGTCCCCTCTTGAACATAGCAAGCATGTATTACATCAAAAGTATTTTTACATGACATGACCGAATACTTAATTTAATTACCTTTCAATACTCTAGCGATGGAAATATGAATTGATAAGATGAAACCTTAGAAGATGAATACAATTGGCAAGAAATTCAAAAGTAAAAAACATGCCTTGATGAGATAAACTTAAGAATAGAAATGCTTGAAGATTATTAAGAGTTAGGGAACACTTTAAGTTTAGAATTTGTGCATGCTAGGATGTACCTATGCAATATTGAGGAGCTTAAAGATCTTAGACTAATGTACTCGTCATTTTAATATTATATGTTATTTTGCTAATTGGGATTAGTGCTAATTAAGTAGGATTAGTAAACCTTAATCGTGATTAATTAAGCTAAGCAAGATTAAGATAAACCTTAATTAATTAGAACTAAGATTGATTAACTAAACTAATGATGGAGATTAAAGATTTTGGTGAAGCACACACATAGGTGAAGCAAGCATATACCTTACCATTTTGTCTTAACCAACCCTTGTCTTACCTAGCTCAATAAAACCAAATAAGAAGAAGAAAATCTGTAGGGTCAAGAAGAAAGGAGAAGAAAGAAGAAGGAAAGAGAAGAAAGGAGAAGAAAAGAGAAAGAAGGAGAGAAAAGAAGAGAGCTTAAAGAACTTGTCAAATCCATCTTTGATCATCTTAAGGTAAGTTTTGAGCCCTAATTCTTGTAGTAATCCCTCCTATCACTCAAGATTGACAAGAAGTTAGAAACCATTTGGGTTAATGACGAAGTTATGGAAGAAAGAAGGAAGCAATGATGAGTAAGTTGGAAAACAAGCTAGGCAGCCTAGATTTTTTTTGCTATTTTGATCTTAATTTTGATGCTCTTGTTGCATAAGAAGTCATACCTTCATATTTTCAAGTCAAATCCAAGAGTTTTACAAGTTTAAATTAATGTTTTGGAAGAATAAGCAAGAAGGGTTTGAATAAGAAATAGAGTTTATGATTTCTTGAGAAACACCTAAGTTTTGATCCTTGTGCCTTAAGAATAAATCATGTTTTGAAGTTATTGCTTTGAAAAGAATCATATTTTCCTTCAAGTTTTCAAGGTTCCAAGGCTTAGAAATGTGAAGAGGTAAGCTAGAACAAAAGAGGATTTTCCAATAGCACACAACAACCATCCCTGCATGTGCCGAAGGGACTCCCGCACGTGTGGCCAGACCCTCCAGGAACCCAATTTTGGTTCTGAAATAACCGCACGTGCGGCACCCCTGCTCCAAGCCCATTTCATGTTTTTCAAGCCTCAAACACTTAGGACACTTCCATGTATGCATTTGACATTTAATTTACACTTGTTTAGGACTTGAATTAAGCTTGAATAAGCCTTGAATACCCTAAGGAAAGATTAGGAAACAGTAAGCTAAGTTAGAACACTTGAAGTGAATTTAGAAGCTTGCTAGTTCAAGTGTTTTCAATCTCTTGCTTATGCTTTGTGTAGGTCAAGCACTTCAAGGAGGAATCCTTTTGTTCAAGGAGCCATTTGTGAGTAGTAATATAGTAAAATTAGGTTTGTTAAGTTATGATTTGAAATGCAAAACTTATGCTATGTTAATGAAAGTTATATTGATATTTATCCCAAAACAAAAAAAAACAAAAAATGAAAGTTATATTGATGTTTTAACATGAATGAACATTCTATATTCATATATCATATATTGAGATGACATTCTTGGATCATGTCCCACTATTGGGGACTTGATGGCCGAGCTCACCTTGCCACCTTCAGGTGGGTCGTTTAGCCGATACCCGGGCTTGTTAAGCACCTTGCAATCCTTGATATGTTCATCATTTTGTAAATGTTTACAAGTCAAGTCTTGTATTATCTTGTTCAAGCTAAGTCATGTTCAAACTATGATTTTATGTTATTTTATAAACTATGATTTATGATTTTATGTTCATTTACCACTTTGCTATATTACTATTCACTAGGCAATGACTCAGCCCTCTCCCTCATATATATATATATATATATGTAGGTGATGAAGAGCTCAACTACGAAGAGAAGTTTGATTAGAAGATAATATTGTATGCTTGTGCTGGTTTTGTAAAGGTTCATCATAAGTGTTGTATTTTACTTTGTTGTTTAGATGATGTAATAATGTAAGATGATAACCCAAGAGGAATGTATACTTTCATTTCATATAGTTATACACTGCTCTGAATGAATGTTTCAAATAGACTCAATATATGCAATTAATGGCTCCCGCGCTCAAATGGAAAATTATATATATATATATATATGTAGGTGATGAAGAGCTCAACTACGAAGAGAAGTTTGATTAGAAGATAATATTGTATGCTTGTGCTGGTTTTGTAAAGGTTCATCATAAGTGTCGTGTAAAAAATCAATGTATAAAGAGAAAAATACAGAGAGAATAAATGTATCTGATGATCTTATTATTGATTGATGTCTTGTTGTATTATATTACAAATCAGAGTGGCTCATTATATAGGAGAGAGTTTGGGTAGTAGGTGAGGAGTAGGTGAGGGTAAATTGGTGGTAGGTGTAGTAGGTGTGGTAGTAGGTGGTGGTAGGTGTAGGTAAATTCTAACATGTCGTATTTTACTTTGTTGTTTAGATGATGTAATAATGTAAGATGATAATCCAAGAGGAATGTATACTTTCATTTCATATAGTTATACATTGCTCTGAATGAATGTTTCAAATAGACTCAATATATGCAATTAATGGCTCCCGCGCTCAAATGGAAAATTTGCCCCAATTATTCTAAAAGTCCAACTTGTTTTGTAAGTTAGGCCTTTGGTAGTCTGCGACTATTAGCCGATCACTGCACTATCATGTTTGGAGCGGGATGGGGTCGTGACACTTACCTTGAGAACAGATGTTGCCATAAGGATGCGGCGGACAATGGCAATAGATGAGAGAATGGAGACAATCATCACCACGGTCATGAGAACAGCAGCAGCATGGAGATGATTAAGCTCCTGAAAGATGTAAACACGTGTAAATAACAAAACAATGTTAACAGCTACCAGTTATAAATTTAGTTACTGTTAAAAACTCACCCTTGTAGATACATTATAATATAGATCATGCTCACCAATGATGGAGGAGAGGGCACTGTTTCCGATCCATCCAGCTAAAATCAAAGGAAAATAAAATAATCATTATATTCCACAAATAGAACAGATGTCCAAGAAAACAAGCAATAAGCAATGTTTCAGTAAAAACCTTGTTTGCATCCTAATATGTTGGATACCTAATCAAGCAAAGAATTTCCCAGGACATTAACTAACAGCATATCGGAGGATTCAGAAGCATAAGAATGTTGCAGGATCCGCCATCCAAAGGGTTTACTGTGAGATATCAATATTCCAAAAAAATTGAAGCAAGTTCACAGTAATCAACCATTAAATCGAGTTTTAATGCCCCAAAGCATGTAAGCCTTATGTACTACTTCCAGGGTCAATTATATTTTTGTGGATCCTGGTAAACAAATAGAGGATCATCATTGGGTAAATGACAATTTTGTTCTTTTAAAAAGATTACTTTTATGTAAGGCCTTTAATGGCACAATAATTCGACAGTCTATATGAACCTACATAAATCTCCACTCCATGCAAGATGTGTAAAGAGTATGGTTAGTGATTGACCAAATGACAGACTATGCCAGCCCTGAAAAAGACTCCTAATTAAACTGTAATTAAAATTATATAAATATAAATATTGAAGATAAAAGATTATAGAATTGTAAATAAAATTTCAATGCCAAAATTGTTGTGCAAACATTCTGCATCAGTGGGTGGTCACAAGGTACATAGGTTTTGGTGTCATGACTGTGGACGTTTTCCTCTTTACTGTCTATATCTTAGTTGCAGGAATCGTGCAACTAGGTGACGAATCTCCGTAAGAAACGCGATTCCGTGTTTCTTAGAAAGAAACGCGTAAGAATCGCGTTTCTGTAAGAGAGAAGCGCGATCCTGTCCAAGATGGGATCGTTGGTGGCTATGAACAAAAACCCTAACTTATTGGTCAACAAAGAGAGAGAGGAGAAAGAAGGTGAAGAACCTGAAGGTCGTCTCTGGGTATGTCCTGCTTCTTTGCTTCGTTTTTCTTCTCTCTCTGGCAGATCGTCTCTCTCTCTCGCTCTCGCAGATCGTCTCTCTCTCTCTCGCAGATCGTCTTTCTCTCTCTCTCTCGCAGTTCGTCTCTCTCTCTCGCTCTCGCAGATCGGCATCGTCTCCTCCGTCTTTGCCTTCTCTCACTCGTGCTCTCTCTCGCCTGATATATATGATTTGAATATATATAAGTATAAAACATATATCTTTATATATATTATAAGAGATCTGGTTCAAAATCTTTTGGTCTTTACCTTAACACTCTTCTTCCGTGGCTGCAGTTCCTTTGGAAGGACAACCTTCTGGGGGTCATGTGCATCATCATTGATCTCCACAGACTTAATTTTCAGGATCTTGGTGGAGATGGTATCTCACAAGGTGTGTGTGAACTTTTATGGATCAAATTATTGTTGAGTGATCTAGGTATTGCTCAGACGGACTCCATGCGATTATATTGTGATAATAAGGCCGCCATCAACATTGCTCATAATCCAGTTCAACATGACAGGACAAAACATGTTGAGATTGATCGCCACTTCATTAAGGAGAAACTCACTAGTGGTATCATTTGTACTCCCTTTGTCCAGTCTGGTGAACAACTTGCTGACATTCTCACCAAGGGAATTGGGAATAAACCATTTCATGACATCGTAGGCAAGCTGGGCATGAGAGATATCTTCGCACCAGCTTGAGGGGGAGTGTTAGCATATTACATTAGCCGAAAGGCACACTAGGGTCTGTCTGTAATCACTGTAATCATTTTATGCACTCAGGGATAGCACTCAGGGATCATCTTGTAATTGCATTTCTTGTAAATCCTAATCTTCTTTTATAAATAGGGGGGGGATATTCTATCATTCCCCAAGCTGGTTACCCAAGCTTCACTAAGGTCTATATTCCCATATGCAATGATGGAGACGGAGTATTTGGGATCAGCAGAATTCTAAAAGTACGGAACAAACTAGTTTCACACAGCGAGAACAACATCCGCAGCAACGACCCCTAGAGTTTGGCAGATATCATGCTCTTATATTTATCTTTATATGATTAAAATAATATTAAATACATCCGTCAGACATAGTTCCATGATTATGCAATTGTAAAATATTTAATATTTCAGCACAGAAACATTTCAATTTATCTAGCTAGAGATGCATTAAACCACCATTTGATTTGATAAACAACCTGCAATGGAAAACAGTAGTAGGAAATGTCCTAACCTTTCAAATAGTAAAACATTGTACATGTTATTATGAGGAAATTAAAGAGGATGATTGTTATCCATGGCATCGCAGCGACAAAATGTCTAATCATCAAAAGCCATGTCACTGATAGAAACAGTGGCAAGATTCCCCCACAAACAATCAATACAGACCAAGACTTGCTAACATCAGCAACATATCTCTGCAAAATAACAACAATTGTAAATTTCACTTAAACACAATTTGTGATGGCAAATGTATCATTGTCAATGCATAACAAATAAAAAGACAAATCTATTTAAGCCTTTATAAAATACTAAACAAGAATTTCCATGAAGGCAAGAGTGGTTTATAAATTATATATATGATTCTCAATGCCTCTACAAGTGTGAGCCCAAGTAGCTAGGACTAATATTAATAGTTGAGCACTTCAAAAGTACGGTACTGTAAAGAGGGACACAGACAAAAACAAAAAGGCTACTCAACCTTTAAGACTGCTGACCGTGAATTGATGGCCTTGTGAATGGATTTATCTATGAGTATGTCCTCAACAATTTTTACTCCACCCATCTGCTGCCAATGCCGCAAAGACATATTTGATGCACGAGCAATAAACTGGCAGGTCCAGTAAACTGAAAGAGAAGATTTGTACTCTTTAATGAACAAGTGACGAGCTCTAAACTGAAGTCAAGGAGACAAGAAAGCTTAATCTGTGAACTAAGGGGCTCTAGCCTAGTTTTTCCTTTGGCCACTATGTCTATCCTAATGGGACGTCTTGGGTTCCACTCTCAAGAGTGGGATGGGAAAGCAACATTTTGTAAGGTGTATGGGTGTGAGTTTCAAATCCCTCAATTGCTAATCTAACAACTAACCACTGACTTTTGCCGAAAAAAAAAAAAAAAAAAAAGGAAAAAGAAAATCTCAATCTGTGTAATATGGCTATTATCTCAATAACAGATTGAAGTGCAAATGTTAACCCCAAATACCTTACCATTCACACTTGGAAATACAACTGGGTAACAGGGACCTTGAAGTTGAAGAGAAGTGTTCCTTAGACCTGGAGTAAGGTCTGCAAAATAATCATAATTCCTATCTATCCAGTCATCAATTGAGAGATGGATATCTCCCTCTGGATAATCACACACCCAATTGAGTGAATCTTCTGATGGGATAGGGCAATCCAATAAACAGATACTTCGGGCATTATCAAGCCTGAATTGGCTGTCCTTTAAACCACTCTGGTAAACCTGGTTGGGATTCAACCAATATCTGAGTTCCAACTCACGAAGGCCAGGATTCGCATGCCTATCACCACAAACATTTCCTTTGTAGTCCAGCCCATAGTTAAGCCTAGCAACTCACAACACAACTTATCACAATCACGAAAATAAAGGAAGAAAAGAAGCAAAAAACATCATATAAGTATGTAAGCACAAAGAGAATGAATCAACATGCGCTCAACCATTAATAAGGCTGTTGTATTTTTTTCTTAAATGAACATTAATTGATTCAGAGAGCCGTTCCTTGATAGCAACTATCGATACTTCCAAAGTTAAAAGGAAGAAGGAATCACTCGATTTCCCGGATAAAATAGCATATATTTCTGTAGATTAGATAACATACAAATCCTTTCTATAGTAATTGAACTTGATTTATTAGTATCTTTATGCAAGTTACAGTTCAATCAGTTTATGCCCTTGTTAACAAGAGACAAATTGCGTTTTGCCAATATCTTAAAAGTGAACACTGGAGCATCGGAGAGGGGAGTCATTACAGCTTCACAATGGTATTGTTGAATATAGAAATTAGAATAAATAGAATATTTTTATTTTTAGTATTATGTATATAATCTGTGATTGTGTCAATCACTGGTTTAGTATTGTTTTCTTATTTATATCGTTTCCTAAATTGTATCATAAATTTATTATATATACATGGCTTCTACCTCATTCATGGACAAGTAAAATAATTCTTTTCATTCTTTTTGGTATCAGAGTTAGGTTAAATACCTAGCAATTTTGCTTCACCGGCGGGCGGCAACCTTGCCTTAGCTGCCCGCCGGACCTCAACCCCTTCTACGGTCATATTTTCCTGTCAGTATCACTTCATGATCTTTTCTTTTGTCCGCTGATTTGTTCTTACCCCATATATCTCTATCATATTTTTTTTTTACTCGCAATCTTTTTTTTTTTTTTTTGTATGTTTCTATTTCACTTTGTCTTTCTCTCTATTCTAACCTCAAATAGATTTCTATCTTCAAACCTATTTGAGTTTGAAGGGGGTTATTATACCTATAAAGCTGCCCCCTCTAGCACCAAAGCCGCCCCCTAGCACACTTTCTAATAAGCCGCCCCTTGGAGCACTCAGTCATCTGTTGCCATCATCATTCGGTACCACGTCATAAGTTATGTGTGTGCCACGCTTGCTGGTTCAACATCCAGTTCTTTACATCAGTCCGGCATGACCCCTTTAAACTGTCCTAACATTAATTCCGGTCAATTCCTATAACAGTCCGGCATGACTCCTTTAAACTGTCCTGACATTGATTCCGGTCAATTTCTTCTAGGACAGTTCAGTCACTATTTTTTTTTCCCCTTTCTAGGGTGTGGTGCTGATCTATTACGCACTTTTTGACCTTTTTTTTATTTAGTAGATTACCAGATTTGTTCAGTAGCATTTATTTGGACTAATCGTTGATTTCTTTCCGACTTCTTCCAGTCATCCATTGACAAACTGTGATTGTTGAATATCTTCACACCAGCTTGAGGGGGAGTGTTGAATATAGAAATTAGAGTATATAGAATCTTTTTATTTTTAGTATTATATATATAATCTGCGATTGTGTCAATCACTGATTTAGTATTGTTTCCTTATTTATATCGTTTCCTAAATTGTATTATGAATCTACATGACCCTCTACCTCATTCATGGGCAAGCAAAATAATTCTTTTCATTCTTTTGGTATCTCATGATCCAATATAAATAAGATCTTAAAGATTTAGCTACTTCTATTTTCTAGCATAGGTCCATTCATCTTACTCTCACGTTTCACAAACTTAAACCCTTGTATTTTACTCCATTAAGAATCATTTTCCTCAACTCATTTAAAAGCACAATTCTTGTGCAACCTTCATCAATCTTATCCTTCCTCTACAATAAAATAGCAAAAGGACACCCTTTAATAAAAGTAACATAAAAAATGATGAGATAAGGGAGTTGCAAGCAATTTGCAAAGCATGTTTAAATGCTCAGCCAAGAATAAGCAAATATTTTTTTTCACTAACCCTATTCAGATCTTGAGAGCATTCTAGTCTTTCAATTACCAAGCCAAGCCAAACCAAACCAAACCAAACCAAGCCAAGCCAAGCCTTAAGTCCTATCAAATGGGGTCGGCTACATGAATCCTTTTTCTCCACGCGGCCCTATCAAAGGCCATTTCGTTAGTCAAATTAAGTAATCCATATCTCTATTTACAACGCTAACCAACGTTAATCTAAGCCTACCCCGTCCCCTAGCACTTCCATCTACCGTTATAACATCGCATCTTTTCATTACTGCCTCTGTTGATCTCCGTTGAATATGACCAAACCATCTCAATCGATTATCTCTCAACTTATCTTCTATCGGTGCTACTCCTACCAATTCCCGAATACACTCATTCATAATTCTATCTTGTCTAGTCTTGCCACACATCCACCTTAGCATTCTCATCTCAGCCACACTCATCTCATCAACATGTTGTTTCTTGGTTACTCAACACTCCGTCCCATACAACATCGCTGGTCTAATAGCCGTTCTATAGAACTTACCTTTAAGTCTAGTGGGTATTCGTTTATCGCACAGTACCCCAGACGCACTTCTTTACTTACACCATCTCGCCTTAATCCTATGGGTTACATCCGCATCAATCTCTCCCGTTGTTGTGATAATCAACCCTAAATAACGAAAATGTTCACTCTTAGACAGTTCTTGGTTCTCAATTTTTACTTCTCCTCTACTTTCATTGTTGTTACTAAATTTACACTCCATGTACTCTGTCTTAATTCTACTTATTCGGAATCCTTTAGATTCAAGAGCTTTTCTCCAAATCTCCAATTTTGTATTAACTCCTTCTTTAGCCTCATCCACTAGTACTATATCGTTTGCAAAAAGCATACACCATGGCATGTCATCCTGGATATTTCTCGTCATCTCATCCATAGCTAAAGCAAAAAGATAAGGACTTAAGGTAGATCATTGGTGTAACCCTACAGTGATAGAAAATTCATTTGTCTCTCCAGCAGACAATCTAATAGTGGTCACCACCTCTTCATACATTTCCCTAATCACATCAATGTAACATTTTGTCACCTCTTTCTTCGCTAACACCCACCATATTATATCACAGAGCACTCTATCATATGTTTTCTCAAGATCGATAAATACCATATGAATATCTCTTTTCTTTTCTCTGTACTTTTCTATTACTATCCTCAAAAGATAGATCCAATGTTTTTAAAGGCTCAAGGCGCACTAAGGCGCTGAAGGTCTCTCGGGGCCTAGGCACAAGGCGAGGCGCAGGCTTTATTGAAGTAAGGCGCACAGTCTTAGTAAAAAATAAAAAAATTAACATAGATAATCATTTATAGTACTAAGACAATTTGTTTAAAAATAAAAAGTAATCAAGATTCAAGACAAAATATAAAATAATTCTCAAAGTCATGAAAGTGCATATCACATAACATTCTAATTTTCAAAGATAAAATAATCTACATTCAATAAAATAAAAATAAAAACAAAAACAAAAACACCAAAACATAAATATCCAACAAATACTAATATTTTGTGAATAATTAATTATTTGTAAATTTTTTTGTGAATATTTGTGAATAATTAATTATTAATTAATTATTTGTGAATTAATTATTTGTGAATAATTAATTATTTGTAAAAAAAAAAAAAATTAGTGTATTTTTTTTAGTTAATTAATCAGAATTAGAATCTATTTTTTTCTCCTAACATGTAAAGGAAAAAAAAGACTAGTAGTATATTGTATTAATTAATTATTTGTGAATAATTATTTATTTGTAATTTTTTTTTCAGTGTATTTTTTTTAGTTAATTAATCATAATCAGAATCAAAATCTATTTTTTTTAGTCTATGTTTTTTTTTAGTTCATTATTTTGTATTTGTATTTTTTATTTTTTGTTTCTAACGGACTCAAAGGCATAATTGAAAAAAAAAAAGAAAAAAGAAAAAAGAAAAAGAAAAAGAAAAAAAAGGGGCAAAACAAAGTAGTCAAACAGCCAAAAGAAGAAGAAGAAGGAGAGAGAGAGAGAGAGAGAGAGAGAAGTCATTCAAAGTTGAAGCCAAAAAAAAAAAAAGAAAAAAAAACAAAACAAAACCGAAGAAGAAGTCGAAGAAGACGAAGAAGTCGAAGTAGAAGCAGAAGACCAGAAGAAGAAGATGGCGAAGAAGAAGAAGATGGCGAAGCATACCTGCGAAGTCGAAGAAGAAGTCGAGCAGCCCAGTCGAAGTCGAAGTCGAAGTCCAAGGCGAGGCGAGAGAGGAAGAGACAACACAGATTGGGGTTCAAGCGCAGCCGTTAGATCAGATCTAGCTGTTAGAAAATCAAGCGCGCCTAGTCGTGCGCCTTGCGCCTCTGATGCCTGGTTCAAGTCGCGTCTAAGTCACGCGCCTAGCTCACGTCACCTCGCTTGGGACCTGCCCAGGCGCAAACAATGCCCTTCACTTCACCTTGCGCCTAGGCGCGCTTTTCACAACACTGGATAGATCCCTTCCATTGTTGACCTGCCAGGCATAAACCTAAATTGATTTTCTGACACCTTTGTTATATTTCGCAATCGGCGTTGTATCACACCCTCCCACACTTTCATTGTATGACACATTAGCTTGATTCCTCTATAGTTGTTGCAATTCTGGACATCTCCTTTATTTTTATAGACTGACACTAAAATACTCTTTCTCTACTCATCTGGTATGTTCCTAGTTAACAAAATTTTGCTAAATAACCTAGTCAACCAAGCAACCCCCTTTTTACCAAAATACTTCCAAGCTTCAACAGGGATATCATATGGTCCTAAAGTCTTATTTGATTTCATCTTCTTAAGTGCAATCTCCACTTCAAAGTTCCTAATCCTGTGATAGAACCTATAGTCTTGGTTTATCGTATTACTGGCTATTTCTTCCCCTATTGCCGTACCTCCATGTTCGTCATTTAATAGTTTCCCAAAATAGTTCTTCCATCTTTCATTAATTTCTTCATCCCTCACCAATACCTTAGAATCCTCACTCTTGATACACTTAACTTTTTCCTCTCCCGTATCTTAGCATGTTTGTAGACCCTCTTC